AGGAAGGAGTATTAGGTATGTTCGCCGCCTTGAGTTATTCATAAAAATAATAAAGGCGGGATTAAAAAAAAAACCTAAAAAAATATGCATACCAATAAAACAAAACAAAAATACCCTCAACTGCCTCACAAGGTCCCTAGAATAGAGTGATTTATCTTGGTTTTCACAGAATGCATCTTCTAGGAGGAAATGCTCATAAACGAATGGCCACCACTGAAAAGGTGGAATCCTCAGCCTCTTTGTTCCAAAATGGAACTTCAGAGAATTCACTGAAGCAGGAAAAGCAAGTGCCTTTGAAAACACAGGGATGCCTAGAGTGGCCTGTTTTCCTGCCATTCTAGCACCCTGCCTTTGTTTCTTGGAGGAAGATATTTCTAGCCGGTTTGTGTAAATTGGGAATATACATACATCTAGGTGTAGGGGGATAAGCTCACACACAGTTAACCACTGTGATATGCTTTCACTTTCTAAACTGTAGTTTAATTAGCTGAATATACTGTATGTAGTGCTATCAGATGCAGGCTGCACAAAACTGGATGATGACTAGATGGCAGGAAAGATGTAGAGATTTTTGCTTCAGTCTGAATTTTTGGAACCCAGATCAGGTAGTTTAACATGTTATGGTTTACTATATTGATCCAGTGAGAGCTTATCAATTAATCCAAAACAGTAGATCAGCAATGTGTATTACAGTAGTGGCTTATTTTTTAAAGTTTATATCTCTGTTTCATTTTATTTGGTTTTTTATCTCACACTATATTTCAAGCAGGCTAGTAGCTTTGCCTTTTCTCTTCTAAATAAAATTGCTGTGTCTAAGAGAGAAAACCCCCGTTAAGGATGTTGAAACTTCAGATGAAATTAAGAAAGATCATGAAAAATGATGCCTTTTGCTCAGCCTGCTTTTTCTCAAACATTCTGTTCTGTTTTTATTATCTTTATGATAGAAAACAAATCCATTATCCTTCAGCATTTGGGATTTCACTTCTGATTTTCATTAAAGAATATCCTGGAGATGAGGCTTGTACTTTATCATAATAAAACAAAGATTACACATAATCATATTCTGTCAGTTAAAGCAAAACTTTTCAGCAAGAGGCTTCCAGCATTTTCCATTTGAACTCAACATGTGTTATTTCCCATTTGCCTCTTGCTCAGATATTTCAGGAACAATAAGGCCGGATCCTTGGTTCCATTTTTGCTACTTCAAGGAATCTAATCGGGTGTGTAACCAACTGCCTGCCAATCCCTGCACGTGTCTCGGTCCTGCTGAGAGAAATTCCGCTTGCTCAGGACTGCAACAGCAGGGGCTATAAATGTCCCCTTGGGCCCCCTCTATGATTTATGTTTTGATCACTTCCATAACTGGGAAGCGATGGGAAGCCCTCCTCCCCAAGTGATGGGGCCAAGCTGCTACCAAGAGGGTGGTACCTCACTGAAGAACAGGTGGGTTCCTCAGAAGTAGCTGGTCCTGCCATTTTTTTCAGATGAGCTATAGGGACTCCCTCAGCACTGAATGGAAGAATTGACAGGCCAGAGAGTAACTGAAAGGGGAAAATGGTATTTCAAGGCCAATGTATGGAGGCAGGCCACTGCTTTTTTGCTAAAAAGTACAGGGAGATAGGTGCAATTTATAGCATGCAAGCAGACCATGGGGAGAGTTTTAGGCATTCAGCTGCTTGCCTCCCTTCTTCTGGTATCCCACCCAAGCCAGGGTTACTATTCTCAACTTTCAGAGAATAGCCTGAATTAATTATTCAGTAGGATAAGACATGGAAAAATCATTTCATAAAGACGCACACTCCAGTTAAGAATAGTAACAGCAATACCACAGGATGACCAATTACAAAAGAACTGATAGGTGCCCTTGTACCATGATGTTGAGGCAGCAATCAATGCCACCCTCTTGCCTACTTGGATCCCCCATGGATGCCCTTCCATGGATGTGTTAATTTGGATTCCTGCACTGAGAAAGAGACTGGATTTGGTGGTCTCAATAGTCACTTACAACTCTATGATTCTATGCTGCTAAGATCCCACTGCTGTAAAACACTTGATCATTCCTATGGAAACAGAAAAACACCTGAGATTGTCTTTTTTTTCTGTCTAAAGCAGTGAAAAGTCATCAGCCAGGAAGGGGTACTTGAAATACAACATTGATTTGTTTTCTTTGAGGATGAAAAGAATTTTCCATTCTGGTAGACAAACCTCCAGAGCATGTTCAAAGAAATCCAAACTCAGTTTTAAAAGTGTCCTCCGCTTCTCAAGGACAATCGTCAGGGAATCCCAAGCATCTCCCAGGGACTCCGCCATGGCTTCGTGCACCTGCTCTTGATCTTGATGTTCTGCTGCAGTTTTGTCAGCTTCCCGTAACAGATCCCAAACTTGGCCTTCCAAAGGCTACAGATAAAAGAAATATGGATCAGAAATCAGGAAGAAAGTCCCCCGGCACTGTGGACAAGCCTCCTTTGTTTATGTATTTACCTTGTTCTTCGACTGAGAAAGACTCCTAGAAAGGTCGAAAAGGTCGGGAGGCTGTTCACAGTTCAATCCGCTTTCTCATTTACCCAGGGGCAGGGCCATTTCAGGGGTTACAGCATCCCTCCTTTCAGCAACTGGGCAGTGTGGATAAGGCCACAGCCTGGCAGAGGATCCACTGTGTGCTGCCCCTGACAGCCTCCTCTGCTCAGTCCCTTCTTGGCTGGGCCACCTGCTGGACATGCTCGTGCCCCCTTCCCTGTGCTTGGGAGGCCTCGTGCAGGGAAGCCACAGGGGCTGCAGATGACAGTGACAGTGACAACGGCAGCAGCTGCTGCTGTAGAGTCTCAGGAGGGCAAAAGAAAAGCACTCTGCTCTGGTTGCTGAGATCGAGAGCTGGGGAAGAGGTGTACTACCCTGCCTGCCTGCCTGCCTGCCAGATTGTGGCCTTATCCACACTGCCCAGTTGCTCCATGACCAGAATGAGCAGGCATTTGTTTCTGGAGAACATTGCCCTCCAGGATTCCCCACTCACTTCCATTTGTTTCTGTGTTCCACTGTTCATACTTTCCTCTTAATGTCACCTTGAAGGCATCTCTCCGTAGCTCCGTTTGGGCTACTGCATTTCTATTAGTTGCGTGCTAACCGCAGGGTGGTGTAGTGGCTTGACCTGCCTTAGAGTCAAGTATGAGCACAGGATAGGAGCAGCTTGAAAGGTAAGTGAAATCTACCCTTTGCAGCCAGCACTGGGTAGGCAGATTGGACTGTGGGCTGCAGCGCCCACTGCTACCCCAGGCCCTATGATGGTCACAAGCCCAGCACATGCCAGGCTAATGCTTCACTGCCCATTGCTCCTGCCTGCTGGAACCAACAGCAGGCTGCAAGGACAGCACGAGAAGCATGTTGCCCTGCTGCTCCAGGGGCCAGGCCATTCCTGGAGCATTAAGCCCAGGGTGATTGCCTGCATCTCATGAGCCCCACAGCAAGAGGCCAGACATTCCCTTCTCCTCATCCCATTTGCCGTCTGCTTTCCCTGAAGAGGGGGAGAGAGAGAGAGGTTGATAGAGACTGATAGACTGAGAGCAATATTTGCAGGGCAGAAAGCCAGGGAAGCAGGATTTCAACAGGAAATGCAGTTTCTCTCCCTTTAAGGAATTTATATTTTAAAAAATTAATGTAATTAAGTATTCCTTGTGATATCTCTTTAATTTTTAGTTCAGATTCAGGGGGGGTTTCATTTAGCAGAAATCCATCTGCAATTTCTGCAGTTTTAACCCAGAGTTGTATGTGGGCTCCAAATCTGGGATTTCATTGTCCCCCTCAAATCCCTAAGCCCACCTGCTTAGTGGTAAGGTCCATTAAGTTCAAGGGAGCTTAGCCTATGAGAGGCTAAGAGTATTGTTAAGGGGAATAGTGATTATTTGCAAGAACTTTGCAATACTGTAAAGAGTCAGAATACTCCATTTTAATAAATCAGCGATTAACTATCTTAAAGAATATTAAGCCTGTTTTTTATCTTAAACTGAGACTGATTCAAGAAATATTTTTTCACCTTCACTTGACACCTCAGAGAATGTTTAAGAAGTGTTGGCTGTGAAAGTTATTATGTTGTAAGTTTAAAATGATGGAGAGGACATTTAGACATATAATACGAGCTTGGCCCACTTTCATCACATTTTGGTTTAATATCTTTAAGGTTGTTAATATGGTTCTGGGAAAAGGAATTACTGTAGGCTTACAGATATGCATGTAATTCTGAATTATATAACCCCCAAGTTAGAATTTATTAATATATATGTAGAAGTATGGTTTTACCAAGCAAGGAGCATAGCAAAGAATTATCATTTTACAATGGAAAGATAGCATCAGCCTGGGTTTCCAGTCTTGGATAGATGGTATGTGTTTGCTCTCTGCTTATGAAGTTGCTTTTTATTGATGTGATAGACTGATCAACATTATTTCATGTGGTCAAGTTTTCATACTGTGTTTAAAAACTGATTTTTAAAATGTATTTGTTATAACATGTTTCTTTTTTATTCTTTTTTTTGGTAGCTTTTTCATTAGAATTATTCAGTGTGTTGTACAGACCTAGGCAGTTAGGTTAGCCATGTTTTAGTTAATCATGGTTTTGTATGTTCAAACATACTCATTTTAAGGCAATCTCATAATTTCAAAATGTACAGATACCTGATTACCCTATCCTCTGTAGCAGCTGGGGTTAACAGACACAAAAGGAGTTACAGAGCAAGGTGAAATGTATTCATTGTTGAATTAGAAGTAGTGTATAGATTTTCCTTTGCCTCAGAACAAATCATTTTGTTTCAGTTCTTTTACTGTTTTCGCTGTAAAGCCTAATAAGTATTGCCATTTCTCTTTATTTTGAAATCTTCAGAGTATCTTCAGCATGCCTTCTAGAGATTGGATATATGTTTGCCCATTTTCATCTCAACTCTTTATCATGACAATGCATGAATGGAGTGCCATTTTTTTGCTGTTACTTTGGGTGCTATCTGGAAGAATGCATAATGAGAAGAGGAATCCATAATAGACAAATTAAAATCTAGGATAACTCATTCTCCTGATACAGACTATAATAAGAACTGAAGATAGGAAGAGATGAAATTCTCCTGATAAGGACTGAGCAGAGAAAGGAAATAATAGAACACTAATACACTGTTGCTTTAAACTCAGAATTGTAATATCCAGATTCTCCCAAGCCACCACCCACATATACTCTGCCAGTAATAGTTGCATCTGAACCGGCTGATAATCTCTCTGTTCTAAAAGAAATGCCATGAGAAATACTTTTCAGAAATAACAAACTATTCTTTCTTAATTAAAAAAGAAAGATGAATAGTTGTCGCTGAAAGAAAAACACATGAAGGAAGGGATACTAACAATGAATTATTATTTGAAATATGAACTCTGCACATACAGGCCAAAAGAGAGAGAGAATGAAAGAGAAAGCTACCACAAAGATTTCCTCTGAACGTAGTAGATCAGTGTTGTCCAAACTTGGCCACTTTAAGATGAGTGGACTTCAACTCCCAGAATTCCCCAGCCAGCCATGCTG